GAGACAAAGCCATTTAGTCTGATTTCAAAGACTGTTTCTTCATTTTATCATTCCAAGGGAGACATTTTTTGTATATTTTTTAAACAAAATCATTTTGCGTTGTCCCATTGGCAAATCTAGTTTTAAGCCAGTCAAAATGCGCTCAATTCAAGCTACATTTTTAGCCATTTTTGACCTTTTTTGCATGACTTTTTGCAGAGTGAAGACAGTACTATTCGGTGGTAGCTAAGTTTGCTAAGCGCGACTGACCTATTCCACTTATGGGGCCATATCGATAATTAACCTCTCTCAAGAATAGCCGATAGAGAAGTATGTAGATAATGGAGGCGACCCTTGTTGACAATAGCTGTGTGTATTGTCGCCGTGGTGCGGGCATTTGTGGCATTCAAAACAGTCTGGAAACATATGCTAAATATTTGCTTTCATGGTTGTAATGACTTCACTGGACATAGGCTCAGAGCAGGATGAAGTACCGACCGTTGTTCAAGAAGCACTCTGCCTTTGTAAATAAAAAAAACTATCCAAGGTACACATCCATCATATTAACTCATAATATTTTAAAGCTGTGGTCCCTATCTCCGCCCACAAATTCAAATGTTGACTTTTCTTTTTTTTTTTTTTTATGACTGAGATATTTATTGTGTTTTATCATGGGGGGGGGGGGGGGGGGGGGGGGAAGGGGAGGGGATCGGGGATCGGGATAAAAAAAGAAAAAAAAAAAAAAAAAAATAGAAATAAAAATACAATAATAATAAAAAATAAAGAAATAAATAATAAGATAACAAAGAGCAAAGGAAAAATAAAATAAAAATAAAATAAACTAAGATAAAAAGTAAAAAATAAACATATGTAAACCTATATACATACATACAGGTGACAATGAGAATACATACATATCACACATATATTCACTAAAAAAAATAAAAAAATAAAAAATATATATATAATATAATAATAAGAAAAAAAAAAAAAAATATATATATATATATATATATATATAAGATAAAAATAAATAAATAATAATAGTCCTTAACAGGAGTTACATTTATAAATCAGTAAGAATAACATAGTATAACACAGTGACAGCTTTGTCACACTCTACAGTGTACTATTGTGTAATATAATTAAGATATTTTCCCCATTTTGCTAGGTATTCTTCCTGCCTATAATTTTTCTTATAGAAAAGCTGTTCATAAGAGGCTACTCTTCCTACTTCTGTAAACCATTCTCCAGCTGGTGGGGCTCTAGGATTTTTCCACTCTCTTAAGACTACCTGTCTACCTATCATTACTGCTGTTTGAATGAACTGTGCATTATTACATTGTTCTACAACAGCCGGGTCCCCCAACACATAAAGTCGGGGAGAAAACTCAAAGAAGTCACCTGTGATCTCTTGAATGAACTGGTGGACAGTATTCCAGTACTCTACAATTTTGGGGCATTGCCACAGTGCATGATATAGGGTACCGTCTGAGCTTTGACACTTCCAACAGTTTGGTGTGCTTTTAAGACCTAATTTATGTAATCTGATTGGTGTCCAGTAGAAACGGTTAATAATCTTAAATTGTATTAGTTTACAATTTAAGATTAGAGGCGACAGTAGCTCAGTTGGTAGAGCATTGGCCTTCAGGCCTGAAGGTCGTGGGTTCAATTCCCACCTCTACACCTTCTCCACCGACTCCCACTGATGACTGCTGTCGTTGTGTCCTTGGGCAAGACACTTAACCCCACTTTGCCCAAAGCCCCCGCTGAAAGATCAAGGCTATGCTCACACTCAGAGAGCAGCCGTCCTCCTGTGGACTCACCACCTGCAGAGGGTCAGTGAGGGGCTGGTGCTATGAGACTTGGGTGGCATCTCTGACTGCCACCCCCCTGACCCAGAAATGGATTAAAGGGTAGAAAATGGATGGATGGATGGATGTATTAGTTTAATTCTTACGTCTCTGGACAATAGTTTGAAATTTTTGCAAATTCGTTGCCATTCCAAAGTAGTGAAACAAATCTTCAAATCTTTTTCCCATATACTTTTCAATATAATTGGTAAGTTACAGTTATGTCGTATGATTTTAGAGTACAACTTAGATACTGCATTGTTTGATAGAGACAATTTATATATGTCATCAAGAAGAGTTGATCTAGGTAAAATTGTGAATGAAGGGCCAAACACAGATTTTAACATGTCTCTGAGCTGCAAATATTGCCAGAAGTTATTTTGTTCAAGATCGAATTCTTGTTTTATTTTTTCAAAAGGTTTTAGAATGCTATTGTCATAAAGATCGTCTAGAGTTTTGACTCCGCTATTCAACCAATTTCTCCACAAGAATGACTCTTTACCAATGCGTAACTTAGGATTTGACCAGATACTTGCATCCGTATTGAGAAAGATTTCAACTTTAAATATTTTGTTTACACTTTTCCATATATTTTGCAGGTGAGTAAAGACTGGGTGACTTTTCAGCTTCGGAGTCAGGCGAGTAGTCAAACATGTTAATGGAGTGTAAGGTAAACATGCCTCCTTCTCCATTTGAAGCCATGGTGGAGCTCTTTCTGGTGGCAGATACCATTTTGTTAGGTGTTGCAGGTTAAAAGCATAATAATAGTACAGCAGTTTAGGTAATCCCAATCCCGCACAATCCACTGGCACTTGCAATTTTTCAAGTCGTAGTCGTGGCCGTTTAGTTCCCCATAGGAATCTTGAACACATCTTGTCAAAGTTTTTAAAATATTTCATTGGGATTTGTAATGGAAGCGATTGAAAAATATAATTCAACTTAGGTATACATGACATTTTCAATACATTGACCTTTCCCCATAGGGATAAATTGAGAAATGACCACCTATCCACATCCATAGAGATCTGTTTCATCAATGGATCCAGGTATTTCATCTACATTAGTAGGGAAAGTGATTCCTAAGTATTTAATGCCTTCTGTAGGCCACTGGAACTGTCCAGCCTGAAATAGTGTTTGGGGGCAGTTTGATGTAAGAGGCAACGCTTCGGACTTATTCCAGTTTACTTTATACCCGGATAATCTAGAGAAGGCGTCAATAGTTCTCAGTAAGGCAGGAGTGGATAATTCAGGATTAGTGACAAAGCAGAGAATATCATCTGCATATAAAATCAATTTATGAGCTATGCCACCAACATTTATTCCTGGGAACTGTGGGTTTTTACGTATTGCTTGTGCCAATGGTTCCAGTGATAGATTAAACAAGGCTGGGGACAAGCCGGATCCTTGTCTTGTCCCCCTTCCTAGCTCAAAATAGGGAGAGATCATGCCATTCGTCTGGACTGCTGCGAGAGGTGTTCTATATAAGGTTTTAATCCAATTTTCCAAACCGGGGCCAAATCCAAATTTTTGAAGAGCAAAGAACAGATACCTCCACTCGACCCGGTCAAAAGCTTTTTCCGCGTCGAGTGAAATGGCAGCTGTGGGATTGTTAGTGTCACGTACATTCCACATAATGTTTAATAGTCTCCTAACGTTATCTGAGGAGCTACGCTTCAGAATAAATCCAACTTGATCCTGATGAATTAGGTTACTAATAACTTGATCTATTCTATTTGCTAATAATTTTGACAATATCTTACAGTCAGTTTGCATCAGGCTAATTGGACGATAGCTTTTGCACTCTGTAGGATTTTTCCCAGGTTTAAGAATTAGTGTTATAATAGCCTGATCCAAGGATGGTGCCAGTTTTCCCGTTTTAAAACTTTCTTGAAACATGGCTAAAAGAACTGGAGCCAGTTCCGCAGAATAACATTAAAAAAATTCTGCAGTGAAGCCGTCTGGGCCAGGGGTTTTCGCAATTGGCAGTTGTTGAATTACTTTGAGAATTTCTTCTAAAGTTATCGGTGAATCGATCATTTCCCTTTGTTTTTCATTTAATCTGGGTAGGTCCAGGTCTTCAAAGAAATCTTGCAGGTCAACCTCCATTGGTGAACATTCTGAAGTATACAATTCCTTATAATACTGTCTGAACTGTTCATTAATTTCTGTGGGTTCAGTTACCAATTTATCCTTTGATTGTATTGCTGATATTATCGAATTCGATTGTTTCTGTTTTACATAGGCACTAAGTAGTTTACCAGCCTTCTCCCCAGATTCGAAATAGTTTTGCCTTGCTCTATGTAGCATACATTCTGTCTTTTTGGACAATATTTCATTATATTCTAATTTCAGTTGAGTACGTTTTTTCAGATTTTTTGGATTAATAGCCCTTTTGTGTTTGTTCTCTTCTTTTTCAATTGCATTCTCTAAGTTTGACAATTGGATTTGACTTTGTTTCTTCTTAAATGAAGCATATTGAATTATAATGCCGCAGAGAAACGCTTTCATTGCATCCCAAGCAATGCCAATGGATGGTGCTGTTGGTAAGTTACTTTCCTTGTAGAATTGTATATCTGCTCTTAATTTTTCTTTAAAGTCCTGGTCCTGTAGTAAAGAATTATTTAGTCGCCATCTCTTTGTATGAAAGGAGTTTGGTTGTGGAAATATTTCCAATGATACAATTGCATGATCGGAGATTATAATATTGCCAATGTAACATGTCATTATGGAATTGATCAATGATTTTGAGATCAAGTAGAGATCAATTCTGGAGTACACCTTGTGTACACCCAAAAAAATTGTGATTTTGCTCTTGAAAGTGAGTGGGCCTCATTAGAACTAACAAAGGGTTTGCAAAGCTCTGAATGTGAAAATCTAGACCAATCCAACCTGTGGGACCACGGCAAAATGGACACGGAGAAAAAGAAATCTGCTCAGAAGAAGAAACGGGAAGTGAAAAAGAAAAACGCAACAAGGATGAAACCAGATGATGTCGCTGTTGGAAACAAAACCAACAGTTCTACAGACGCTACACAACTTTTCAATTCTTTGTTTGGTCCACTTGAAGATGAGTTGCTCTCCGGTGTCACGGAAACTAAGTCCAAGAGCAACAAAAACGCCAAACAATATCAGAATTTGTGGCCGGATAGGGAACTTTTAACCGATGAAATGCCTCCCTGGCTGGATCACAATGTTAGTGCTGTGGAGATGGGTTCTATGCCCTGTACCCCCAGGACAGCCAGAAGAACGGTGCAGAGTGAGAGTTCTCACAACAATAACGTCCTAGTGGATAGAGTTCCAACTCCCCTGGCCAACACCATTTCATACCCAGGAAAAGAGAATGACGGACAGACACGCCACACCCAAAGGAAGGAGAAAGTGAGCTACAAGGAGCCAAACCTCAAGAGTAAGATGAGACGTGGAGACAAGTTTACGGATACAGAGTTTTTAAGCTCACCCATTTTTAAGGACAAAAAAAACAAGAAAACGACCATAAAAAGGGCTTGAGAATGTCTTTTCTTTTGTACTTTTTAAATTTTTAATAAAGACATTTTAAAATGGTTTAAAAAAAAAAAAAAAAAAAGTTGACTTTTCTAACAAATATGCAAACGATAAAATGTGTTCTAATACGATGAAGATGAAATATATTTTACTTTCCAGACTCTTTCTGTGTTATGGAGGGTTAAAAGTAAAGACCTCCAGCTTTACTTGGGCAAATTAATGCTAACGAGATGCAATAATATCCTTTATAGTATCGCATCTCGTTAGCATTCATTTGCAGACAAAAAAACATCAGAAAATGACTTGAATCCAATTAAGTTGATGTGTGGTTAGTAGTATAAGGGATATAATAAATATTTATTCCAGAGTCAAGGTCCATGAAAAGAAATTAGAAGAGAAGCAAAGTCTAATTGTACATTTATCCAGTTAAATATTGTACACAAAGATGAAACTGTTGGTGAAGAGGAGGTTGTCGTTTTGTTAAACAAGATGGAGGACGTGCAGAAGTGTTCATTTAGGAGCTTTATTGGTTTGCTTAATAGTGTATGAAATGCTTTCTTCTTGTTTCAAATCAAGAGTTCTAAATGCTCCACCTCTTCTTCCACTAGCTGGGTGTTTAAAGGGGCCGTATGTACAGTAATATATTCATTTTAAATTACACGTCCCCAGATAATAGGCAAACTATTTGACCTTTGAAAAAAAGTTTAAAGTGGACTTATTTTCACTTGAAAATACAAAAAACCATAATAACATTTCCAAGCATATTATCCAATTAGAGACATCCAGTAAGCATTTAAATGGTCAAAATGAATCAATGGTCATATCTATTTAGCATTGTTTGATCTTTCCAATGAACCAATGACCCAGGCACACACGCAGTCACACACCAGTGTACGCGGACACTGTAGAGAGGCAGATTAAGTGTCTTGCCCAAGGACACACTGCAGCAATCACCAATGATAGCTGCCAACCTACGGGCCAGTCGATCTGACTGCTCAACCAATGATGTTTATGTCGAGAACCAGATCCGAACCGTTTTCCAAAATAAGTATTAATATGGAATTCACAGAGTTAGCTAAACCCCAGCAGGTGGATTGCAACATTTGTTTGCTTGTAATGACTTAAACCACTAATACACATACTGTGCATATTAGATATACTGTCCCTTTAATGTACAGTATACTTATGTATTTATTTATTTCAGTGAAGCCAGTTTAGTAGGAGTTTATTACAAGAACCAAAAACCCTGTTAACAAATGTGGAAAAATATGTTCTACCAGTCAGTCGCCTCATTACCAAATTGAGAAAATAAATCGGCTTTTTTATGAATGAATTGCAGTGAGCCTAATATGACATAAATCTGGTACACACCAAAAGACTTCCGAGCAAACCAAGCAGCTTCAAATCAACCGGAGACACCTAAACACAGTTCTTGAGGACAAATCGCCGGTTGCTCCCAGTTCCCTCCTCTTGTGATGTCTACTTTTAAGTTTTAAATACACACACGCGGATGTCTCATTAGGGGACAGTGAGGCCAGTGTTAAGCTTCAGTCAGACAGGCTCAATCCAGTCTAGTCCCTGGCCCCTCGCTGCCTCCTCTGAAGCCTCCATCACATCCGCAGCTGTTGTCTCCAGGGCAGATTTACGTTTTTTTCCTTTGATAATGTACAATGGTATACAGTTATATATGTTAAAGCTGCATTTAAAAAGATAATGGTTTGGGAGCCTAAAGCTACTTTGCAGATGGAGTGTATATAAGAACATTCTTGTTTTGTTTGGGACGTCCTAGAGTATTTCCCGCTCTCTCTCTCTGGAGGAAATAGTAAAAGAACTTAGAGAGACAATGGACATGACAGGCCAACGTTTTTCAGTTTACATTTCTCATATTTATGGACACCACTTGAAAAAACACTTCTTTCAGAGAAGATGTCATATTACCAAGAGTGAAGTAAGTATGCAGGAAGTAAGATTTATCTATATAGCGCATTTTTACAGACACAGGTCCCCCAAAGCACTTCCCGATTTTCAGAGTTCAGAAGTTTTTAAATCTCTCCATACACGGAGGATCGAAGTCTCTGACCAACACCATCCATTCAGCTTCATACCTATTGTGCATGATTTTAGTGGTAGGGGAAACTGGAGCACCCGGAGGAAACCTACGCAGACAGGGGGAAAACATGAAAACTACAAAAAGAAAGCCTCTGTTCTAACCGGAATTTGAACCCAGGACTCAGCTGCCGGGTCTCCAAACGGGGTATTTGATATTAATGAACCAGTGATACATTGCGTGACCATGCTGTACTCCTACAACAAGTTTTGTCTTGTTCCTAATGGACAGCACGGTGGCTGAGTGGAAAGCATGTGGATAGCAGTGGAGTTTGCATGTCCTCCCCGTGTCTGTGTAGGTTTCCTCTGGGTGCTCCGGCTTCCCTTACCACTAAAAACATGCGCAATAGGTATGAATGTAAATGAGAGAGTGAATGGATGGTGTTGATTGGGGGCTGATGGTCCAGTGTGTTCGGCGACTCGCTTCCGTGATCACCGTGTGTGGAATGATTGGAACAATATCTGAACTCTGAACATTGTAAAGACATTTACTTACTTACTTACTAGTGCTGCACAATTCTCATATCTAAAAATACATTGAATGCACATAATGACATGTTTGCCGCTTCACACAGACATATTTTTCACTTTCCCTTCTGCGTCATTTGCAAATTTCACTTCCAATTTGTCCAATTACCAGAGAACACCACGACTCAAACAGCGACACCTCAATTTCACCTCAATTGCCGTGCGCCTACCATTCACCGGCCTCAGTCACAGCCAACGCTATTACTAATCCGTCCCATTGCAAGATTTCTTGGGAAAACCCTGATCCAAACAGACTGTGACAAGACGTCCGAGGTGTGGGGGCGACGGTGACATCACAGGGTCCCATGTCAGAGCACAATGAGGACTTTATGAAGAGCAAATCCAGCGTAGTTATCCCCACGCCAACAAAATGGAAGCCGTTTGAATAATAATGGAAAGTGTGTGTGTGTGTGTGTTCTGTGGTGTGGCCAAAGCCAGTTTAATAGACTCGACGCCTGGAAAGAATTAGAGAAATATTTTCAGGTGTTAGTGGGTGTCGGGGTTGCACATGCACAGACTGACCATCGTAGAGTTAGTCATTCAGATTTTTGGTTTCAAATGGGCAAGAAACTAACATGACACTGTGTTCTATAACTTGTCAGTGCCATCATTAGTGTTCAAATATTCAGAAACCACAGCAACTTGAACGCAAATAATTAGTAATATTATTATGCTTCAACACCCAAATGCAGGACAGTACAAAGTTACTCATACATTCTATAATCATATCAATAACATTAAACGTCCATAAAGTGAATCCACACAGAAACTTCTTGAACGGGAGGTCAATTGCGATTTTCAATTCTTGGTCGTTGAAAGCTCTGGTAACTAACTTTTCTTTCAAATAACAATACACTGGGTTGGTACTGACAGAAAGATTCATGAAAAAGTGAAACAAATCTGTTGCAAACTAAGAATGAGCTTTATGAGTATCTATTTTATTATTTTACTGACTGAACTGATTTAGTAATCTTTATATTTATTTTATTTATATACTGCCTTTTCACTGCAAATCTGAGTCTCAAAGCGGTTTACAATTGTTAATTTTTGGGCATTTGTCTCTCACTCCACACAGAGATGGGAGTGGGGGTGCCAGTACAGGAGGCGCATGCCAGAACTATTATACATATTTTTAGTGGTAGGGGAAACCGGAGTACCCGGAGGAAACCTACGCAGACACGGGGAGAACATGCAAACTCCACTCAGAAAGGCCCTGGTCCGACCGGGATTCGAACCCAGGATCTTCTTGCTGAGAGGCGAGAGTGCTATCCACTCTGAATTTTTTAAAAGTTGGAGACTCTAGCTTTATTTTTTTTAATCATAGGAGCTGGAGTAAGTGTTGTCTGATTAAGCATGTCTGGTCGTCGCTGCCCCCACTACCCGGAAATGGATAAAGTGGAAGAAATTGGATGGATGGATGGTTTACTAATTCTTCATACGACAACTACATCTGTATATCATTTTAGAAAGATAATTGGAATCAAATCTCATTCAAAAATTGCATAAATTGAGATAACGGTTTGCCTGACAGATGTGATAGAAATGTGATACAGTATGTTATGGCAGCCTACTGTACATACAAACAGCAAATACGTAAATATGCAATCTCAAAGCCAGTTTATTTCCTTCTTTGCTCATTTACCGTTTGTGTGCGGACCTTTTCCTTATTAAAATGTCATTGAGTCGTGAGGTTTGTATTTATGCAGTCTTAAACAGCTGGGTGCAGTTTGGCTGGTGGTCCCTCTGACACACGGAGATAAGCTTTATAACAGCGAATGCACGGGGGGCTGATTTGATTGATGCGGCCCTATTATTATCATGTTCGCAGAGGTAATGTATTCGGGCCGTCCATAAAAGACCAGTTCTAAATTACTGGTGTCAAATTGTGGCAGCGGAGGTGTGGGGACCGTATCTCCTCCATCTGTATATTCCAAATGAGGTTGGACTGACATTGGGGAAAGATGATGGGAAGGGAGGGGCCAGTGATGTGGGAAATATTGATTTATTTTGATTTGTGCGACTGAGTAATAAGCAATTTAGTGTGAGTGAAAGAGAGTGAGTTAAAGCATAAATATTACAGAAAGACAATGTTAACAGTTGCACACACACGCTGCAGATCCACCACTGTAGTGCTGATAATGAAAAAAATGTATATATAATCAAGCCATACATCCATCCATTTTCTTCCGTTTAATCCATTTCTGGGTCGAGGGGGGTGGCAGTCAGAGCCCCACTCAGTCCACAGAGCACCAGCCCCTCATCGTTCCTCCTGCAGGTGGTGAGTCCACAGGAGCCTTGATCAGGGGCTTCAGGCAAAGTGGGGTTAAGTGTCTTGCCCAAGGACACGTCGACAGCGGACATCAGTGGGAGTC